CCATGTCAACAAAAATATATAGTGAATTTACTGGAAACTGCACATATGGATGACTGTGTTCCGTGTGCTACTCCCATGGAGCAAATCCTTAAACTACGTAAGACAGATGGTGATTTACTGCCTTATGGTTCCTTTTATTGGAGTATGGTCGGGAGTCTTATTTATCTAACGCACACTCGTCCGGATATTTGCTATGTTGTTCAGGTGGTAAGTCAGTTCATGCAAGCACCCCGAACTCCGCATTTGGCAGCAGTTAACAGGATTCTTCAGTATCTGCACGGTAGTCAGGAGGTGGGTTTATTCTTCCCAGTGTCCAATACACCTATCTTGGAGGCTTTTGTTGATGTCGATTATGCTGGTTGTCTAGATACTCGACGTTCTACGTCAGGATGGTGTGTGAAGATGGGTCAGTCATTCATTTCATGGAGATGTAAGAAGCAGCAACGTGTGTCCAAGTCTTCCACAGAAGCTGAATATCGATCTATGTCCGAAGTTACTTCTAAATTGGTTTGGCATCAGCGGTTGTTGTCCGAGATTGGTGTTGAGTGCCAGATTCCTATGCGCTTGTTTGGTGACAGTACAAGTGCTATCCGGATTGCTACAAATCCTGTTCTTCACGATCGGACCAAGCATATTGAGGTTCATGTGCATTATATTCGTTAGCTTGTGTCAGAAGGATAGGTGGAGCTTTCGTATATTACGTTAGAGGAACAGACTGCAGATTTGCTGACGAAAATAGTGGCCACTGCTCGACATTGGTTTCTGGCTTACAAATTGATGTTGCGTAAACTTCATCAATTTGAGGGAGGCTGTTAGAAGTTTAGGTGCTGGATTGTAATTAACCTTTGGTAGTTTCGGTTAATTACCTTCCGCCGCCGCTTGCTTTGGTTTGTAGGCGGCTAATATTTATATGTGATTATGTCGTATGTAACCCTTAAGCATTCTGAAGCTACGTCATACGATTGACTCCGAGAGGTTTCTCCCTCTCCATGGATTAGTCTCAACAATACATTGAAGATACCACGTTAAATCCGGTGTTTCTATTATGCTTTATTTCGTATTTTGATAGTTCTTCTCCTACTTCTTCAATTCGTTCTTCAATCCTCAATTGTGATTGGAATTGAACCTCTCTCTGTCGGTTTCAAGAAGCGGTAGCTGGCGGCGTAGCTCTCTCCGTCGGGGACTGATGTTGGCTGGTGGCTGGTGACGAGAAAAGGAAGACGGAGATGCCTAGCATTTTGACTTTCGGGAGAGAATCAAAGACAGAGATGGTCGACTGCAGCGTGCAGCGGGGGAGGCGAGGTCCGATTTTGGGTATTAGGGTTTACCCCAATCTGTTGCGTTGGGTTTTTACTAATGGGTTTCGGTATTACGGTATATCGATTTCCCATCGGTAAGTTACCAAATGTTATCCGGTATACCGTTTGGACAATTGTGCAGTCGTATACCGATACCACTAGTATTCGGTATACCAGATACCACTGGTAATTAATATGAATTTTTTGTATCAGTGCAATGGTAGTTAAAAAAAAGGAGTATAATTAATATGAATTTTTAGTATTAAATTCATGTTGCATTTAATAATCTTTGGAAACTAAAACTCATATTAGTTACATTTCTTTTTTAAAACTACTATTGCACTGATACAACTACAATTGCACTTGTACACTGATACAACTACTATTTCACTGATACAACTACCATTGTATTGTAAAAAGAAAAGTAATTAATATGAATTTTTAATTCAGACAAATTATTAAATGCAACACAAATTTATTATTTAAAAGCCTATAATTAATAAGGGTATCATTTACGTTAGAGGTAATCATGTTATCTCACAGGCAATTGTATTGTCGCCGCCCACGTTTCCTTGGTCCCAGAGGCCAGAGCAAATCCTAGATACTATCATACTATTATGTGGAAACGGAAAAAGTCTTACCGTTAGTATGTTTGGTAGACTTCAATCAAACATCTATCTATCTATCTATCTATACATAATATTATGGCAATTCAAAAGTAATTGTTTGCCACCTAAGCACTTGGAGAGCTTACAAATTGCCAAGGTGGACAATATTTTTACAAAAAGAAAAATAGTTATTGATATATTTATGGAGCTATCTCTCTCTTCATTTAATATTTCATTTCCCTTTTATCCTTTTTTTTTTGTATTATATCAATGTACACAATAATAAATAATGTATGAAAAGTGACATATATTACATTTGTTATCTCTAAATTTTTAATATTTATTTTTCTTTTCCAATACTTCCTTTATGTTTTTGTTTTTACTTTTGCATTGTATAGATGTACGCAACAATAGACTAATGTCTTTGAGTCACACATATAACTTTTTTCTCAACCAAACAAATATCTTATTAAAGCTCACTAAGTAAATTTTTAATTCACTTTTACAATAATTTACAAATATGTTACATTTTGATGAACAATTTATACAAACACACATACATAATAACATTTTATCGCGAAAAAATAACGATGGAAATTAAAGAGAGAAAACAAGAAACGTTTGAATAGAAACTTGACCAAGCAATAAAATCTATTTCTTAAACAAAAACCTTATTCATTCTAATTAAGTGAAAAAATATGAATCATAGGTGCAATAATTTACAATGTATCCTAAGTTCACATTACTAATATTTTGCATTTTTGCTCTAGATCGTGTTAATTTAACAAACTCTACTGAAGTTTTACGTCATATGTTAAGAAATTTAATTTTCAGACTTGGAGTAATAAATTTTCAAGGATTATAAATAAAAAATTTTAAAATGACTTCGGTATGATTGTTGATGAACTTGACTTCATATCTTAAGATGAGACACGAGATACATTAAAAAATGATAAATGTGAAAGTTAGATGAATCTTTGCTAAATTGTATGTTAAACATCATGTGTTCATCAACCACTGACCTATGAAGCAAGATTAGAGAAGTTAATCATCATAAGAGGTATGATCTTTCTTAGCAAACACATGCATTTTTTTTTTGCAATAAAACACATGCATAAATAATAATATATTTGCGAAATAAAATAATTTGATAAAAATTCAATGGAACAAGAATAGATCACCTCATTGGATAAATGAAGATGATAAGTAAGAATAACTTTTCTCTCACTTATAATATGTCCTTCCATCCTTTATTTTCTTTTACAATTGTTCATATTTCCTTTATTTTCTTAACATTTTACGAATCCGGGTAAAAAACAAGCGTTAATTACATTTAAAAATAATTAAACTCTTTATAATATATAATATATTGACAATAAATGTGGCAATACAAAAAAATGCATATATTAGTATAAGTAATGAAATTTTTATTTCTAAACAAATACCAAACATAAATAAATTTTAGCAAATGGAGGTTCTACAAGTTGTAAAATTATACACTAACACACCATATTAAGATCAAAATCCGTATGTGAGTATCTTGGATTGAGATTCTAAAACAATATATAAACAACGATAATGAGTCTCAGTTAGTCCAAATTAATTTTCAGAAATTAGCAATTGATACATATTATATAAGAGACTAAATACAAATAAGATCTTACAGTAAACTTCATGAACATTCAAAGTGTCAACTTTAAATTGGGATGAAGAAATTTCTCCAATAATAAAGTATATATACAAAGAAACTCTTCATAAGATGTCCTCATCTGAACAGCGTGGATTCATATAAGATAGAAAAAATTGTACTGGACGTGGTATACCTTTGTGACATGGTTTATGATTAGAGAATTCAAACAGTATAAGTGAATGTGCTAAGTATTGAGAATTTTCAATATATAGACACACCACATACTCACTTATCAATACAAAATATAATAAATTTAGAAGGTCTAAAATAGTTTAAACATATAGATAAATTGAATTAATGTCAATGATAAAATGAACATCTCCGGCCAATGGGCCGGGTAAAAAGCTAGTAGTGATAATGACATATGAGGGAAGTAATAAGATAAATTCTTGTTCCTTGATCTCCACGGCAATCGGCGGCTTCCTCTACCCAGCAACCATCATATTCAGCATCAGCATAAGTTACTATTTTCTCCGGATCGAACTTTCCCCACCCTTTCCCTAGCTCCTTAATTTTTTGACATACCTCCCCTCGTCCCTCCCTTCCTCCTTCCTCCCGGTATAAATACACATTGTTGCCAGCTATGAGCTAACTAGGAGATCACAAAACAAAGCCTACCATTGCACCTGAGACTTGTTCATTCTCTTTCTTCCACCTTACACCTGCTACTCACTCACCAGCTGATAGCCTGATATATTGATCAGCCAAGAAATCAAAGCGCACCATTACTTCCCCTCCCTGCTCATCCTCTCTCCATCTGCATTACAGCTATTAATTAAGCACCTTCATACGTACGCGGATAGAAATGGGTTTGGTTACAGGCATGTTTAGTGGCTGCTTCCAGCTTGTTCCTTCTTCTCACTCTGCCCCCTCCTCCAAGGCCGCCGATCATCATCATCATCATGTTCATGGAGATCATCAGGATCAGAAATCCTCTCCGGCGTCGGCTCCTGCTCCTGCTCCTTCCAAAAGCAGCAATTCATCATCTGGACATCATCCAATACTAGTCCATTACTTTCCAACCAATTCATACATGTCCCGGCCCTGTCTCTGAATCCATCCACCACTACTGCTTCATTTTATTCGTTTATAATTTTGAGTCTGAGTAGGGCCATACTGTTTTTTTTATAAAATTGTACCAACTTCAATTCATTCTACATATATTCACTACTGCTTGCTGCCTAAAGATTTTGTACCAGTTCCATTCGAGTGAATTTATAAGAAGAGGGCCATTTTACTTCATTTCCAGTCAGTCTCCTTCAAAGAGGCAAAATACAAAGAAGCATAGAAAGAAGGAGAAACAGCAAAATCTCTCTACGGAGCATGAATTCATGGGCTTTACTCTTTTCTCAACTGAAGCCCAAAGAGGCAAAGACATCGCCTCAACTTATACCCATGGACTAGGCCCAGGATACATCCTTTCTCTGTTCGTGATCTGGTGGTAGTTTTGATTAACTGGGCTGCAGCAATAATTTTAGCCCAAGCCCAATTCTCGAACATGTGGTCCCTCCGTCGGCCCCAAAAGCCGCCCGCTAAGATGCCTCCCCGCTCTCACCAAACAGTAACAGAGAGAGGTCAGAGGCGGCGTGAGGGGGGAGAGAGAGATACAGAATCCAAATTCGCCTTGCCTTGGCTTGGCTTGGCTGCTCCTTCTGTTCGCAAGTCGCAACTTCGTATGTTGATGTATGTAGCCCAAAAATTGGTCTCTATCAACTCCAGAAGGGGCAAACCGAAAAAAGGCCACTCCTTTCCCTCCCTTCTTCCTTCCTCCTTTCTTTCAACATAAAATCATCACTCACTGATTTCGATTCAGCAAATTTCTCCCAACTCATGGCCGCCGTCTACAGGCTCCCCTCCCTCTCTCCTCTTCCTCCTTCTTCCTCCGACTGCACTAGCTATTATCATTCAGTCCGCACAAACCCAAACACCCTCTGCTGTCTCCGCGCCGCCTCCCCTTTCACCGAAAAGCACTCCCTCCAGCAGTACCGCCGTGACAACTGGCTCTATAAGGAGCACCTTCCGCCTTTCTCTTCTTCTTCTTCTATTCCTCCTCCTCCTCCTCCCCCATTTCGTGAAGGTGATGATGAAGATTCCATCAGGCAAAACGACATCGCATTGCAGCTCCCGGAGCTCAAGAAGCTGCTTCAAGTCCTCAGGGAAAAGAGACTACTAACGCAACAACATTCTTCTCCCGACGGCGATTCTCAGAAACCCTGCTGCGGAAGTGTCTTCTTGGTCGGCACTGGCCCTGGTGACCCCGACCTCTTGACAATCAAAGCTCTGCGAGCGATTCAGAAGGCTGATCTCTTGCTTTATGATCGGTTGGTCTCTAATGACGTTCTCGATTTGGTTGGTCCCGATGCTCGATTGCTCTACGTCGGCAAGACTGCTGGCTACCACAGTAGAACCCAGGTACCAGAACAACTGAGATTGCCCAATCCCAACCCCAAATGACTCCAAATGCTATTAGTTCATTGCAATTTCAAGGATTCCCACATTAGATCACTCCATTTCAATTAGCTATATCAACTGCTTAGTGTGGGTGACCCATTCGAGAATTTTGTCAATGTGGACTTATGGATGAGTCTTCTGCCTGAATGCAGGAGGAGATACACGAGCTGCTTCTGAGTTTTGCTGAAGCAGGGGCCACAGTAGTCCGGCTCAAAGGAGGGGATCCTCTGGTGAGTTTGTACATAAAAGTGAAGTCTTTAGAAATGCAACGTGATGCCCCTTCTTTTTGACATTCTTGCTGACATGGTTGCTATTGGACTGTTGCCATTTTAGGTGTTTGGTAGAGGTGGAGAGGAGATGGATTTTCTACAACAGCAAGGCATTCATGTTAAAGTTATTCCAGGTATTTAATCCAATTCAACCACTTGCAAAAGTTTTCCAAGATCGGTTTGCGTGTGGCATTGCTCAATTTTCTTGTGCTAACTTTATGCAGGCATAACAGCAGCTTCAGGAATTGCAGCAGAATTGGGAATCCCATTAACTCACCGAGGGGTTGCCAATAGCGTAAGGTTTCTAACCGGTCATTCAAGGAAAGGAGGCACCGATCCACTGTTTGTTGCAGAGAATGCTGCTGACCCTGATTCAACCCTGGTGGTTTACATGGGCTTGGCCACTCTCCCTTCTCTTGCTACAAAATTGATCCATCATGGCTTGCCGGAAGACACACCGGCTGCTGCAGTCGAGAGAGGAACCACACCACAACAGCGCATTGTAAGCTTTGGACAACTAGTGGAAGATAGGCTCTTGTGTTTCTTTTTCTTCCATGCGGCTGAGAATGCTGACTTGTCTATTTCTACTATCTACAGGTTTTCGCGGAACTGAAGGATCTTGCTGATAAGATTTCAGAAGCCGAGTTAGTTTCTCCTTCACTGATCATAATAGGGAAGGTTGTTGAACTTTCACCACTATGGCCATGTTCTTCTGATGAATCAGTTGCTTTGGCTGGTGTCATTTAGCCACTGGCATTGGACAGAGGAGACTTCCAATCCAATATTCAATTTGACAGATTAGTAAGAGTTTTGGTTATTCCTCTTGAAGCCAGCAGCCCACGTTTCTGAACGACCCGGCTGAACCAGAAGTAGCACACTGTTGAATGGTAACATGGGAGGCTGCCTTCACCTTTTGATTGGTAATTGAAGTCGCAACAATATTTTCACTAATATCTGTAGAAAATTCATCACTGCTTTTAAGCGGTATGCAAGAAAATAGGTAGCATCATTATTTGATCACCAGCGGGGTGTGTTGTGTATCAGTATAAGCCTCTTTTATCATTCTGAATAGAGTGGAAGTTAACAGTAATGTAATGGCGGTGCAATTTTCTTTTGGGTAATTGATGCTCTTATTTCTTCTTTTTTTGGTGAGCAGGCTCTTATTTCTCTTTTCATTCTTTTCCCACTTCCTGCATAATTTTATGTTTCTTCCATTGTTTTCCTTCATCGAGCAGCAGTGATGTAATGTAACCTATCAGACAGCTGAAACTCAGCAGAAACCCTCTTGAGGTCATGCAAAAACCAGATTACTTGTTGAATGGTAACTGCTAGGACAGTGCAGCACGATACTCGTTCAAGTGATTTAACTATTCGATTCATATACATGTGTTGTCCTGTGGCACCTTTACTTGCGTACAAAAGAATGAACTTTAGAAGTAGCAACCCTTCCATCCTAGAAAATGAAGGTAAAGTAGTAAACTATAAAAGGCCTAGAAACTAATAAAGAATTAAAAAAATGACATCCACCGTATAACCTGACTTCCTTCCACCAGTTTGTGTATTCCTCATTTACAATGTGGCAGCAAACCTTTCAGTGTCTTGTCTGTGTATTTCTGCTGAAAAGGAGTGCCGCTGCTGCAACTGGCTGCTCATTAGCAATCCAATCAGGCGATGAGCTGAGATTTAGCTCTGCACTAACTCTGAATGTCTACTAATCACACTGTGGAGTGTGAAGAAGTATGATTGCACATGCATTCAGGAATCGGGTACTTGGTGACGTCCCTTCCAGCTTTGCTACTTCTGAGCTCCGGCTGCCCTAACGACTCGCTGTGCAACTCCTTGATGATCCTATTGAACTCGGCCTCGGGAAGCGAATCATCCAGGAAATAAGGCAGCATGTGTCTCTTGTTGGGAGTTATATACTTCTTGTGGCCTGCATAAGCTCGGTGTCCCTGGATTGCGTGGCCCATGTTCCCACCATGAGAAGGCATGAACACGTCGCTTCTCTCCGCCACAATGACGTCAATGGCAGCCATGAAGGACGCTTTCTTCTCATATGGTTCAAGCTCCCCGGGCAAGGCCAGATCATGCTTGTTGAACAAGTATGGGAATTCCTTAGTTATGGGGTCCAAAGCTTCGAGTCCTCCTAGTGGGTCCCCTCCAGCCCAGAATATTCTTGCACCCTTTGGTGCTCCCAGTGCCTTGAGCAGCCTGGCCACCTCCATGGCGTTCAGAGGGCACAATCCGGCGAGCTTCCTTTCGTGGGAAGTCATGTTGGACCGGGCAGTGAGTAGCTCAGGTCTTCGTGTTCTCTCGCTGGAGATCATCTCGTCGTACTCTGGGCTCAAACCAGGTAGGCAACCGGTCCGAACCCATACGTCCTTCTCCATCCGGAGATGGAGTGCAATGTACGGACCTTTGCTCGACATTCTGTCTGCCATCTTGTTGCCAAGTCCCATAATGGTTGGAGCGAACCTCAAGGCATGGAATGCTACCTTGCATCGTAGTTTCTGAAGATCGGAAGGAAGATCCTTGGAAAGCCTCGAGTCCAAACCACGTAGAAGCAAAACCCCTTCTCTGTTGAGCTGCCAAAAATGGGGAGTGGTAACAGTAAGCATCTAAATATGCTAGTAGTATTTGATTGTTCTAAAGCCAATTCATGAAACACGCAATTCAATGTCATTGGAAGAATGCAGGGGGTGGTTTGACACTTTGACTTATTAGGGATATTCGAAAAGGACTACAAGTTTGGCGTGTTTGGCCGGTATTCTACCGTAGAACAACTTTGCAAATTACAATTCAATTCTGTTTTGCCAACATATAAATGAGGGAGCGGGGCCACAAGTAACAGCAGCTTGCAAGAGGCCAGCTGGAGATGAGCATTGTTGCGTCAAGTTGGGGGCAAGTTCAAAACCAGAACGCAAAGCAACCCTCTTGACTTGACTCTTGAGAGAGAGAGAGAGAGAGAGAGAGAGAGAGAGAGAGAGAGAGAGAGTGTAGGAACTAGGAAGGGGAAAGTGAAATGAGAGAGCAGGAGCAGCATACCCGCTTGAGATAACGGGAGCGGATCCATTGAGGAGAGGCGTGCAGAGGAGTCCGTTTCTCCTCGACTGGCCTGGTCATTATGTGGGTCGAAGGCAGAGAAGAAACTACCCTGACGTCATTCGCCAGAACCGCCTTGAAGTGCTCCAAATCGAATATGTCCGAGAACTCACTGCAGAAAGAAATCAAACAAAGAAAATCAGGAGGATCAAAGATGCAATCTTTCTCCTTTAGACGAATGGAGAGGCGAGGGTATCCATCATCAGTAACTAATAATACTATACCTTTCGTCTCCCCAAATGACATTGACTTGCAAGATGGGAACCACCAAAGTAGCCCCAAGAATCCTGGCGATGACGACGGCGTCCACAATCTGATTCCTCTGCTGATTCATTCCTCCAGCGACCACCACAAGCAGATACTTCTTGCTCCGCTCTTTCAACATCGATTCGGTGGCTCTCTGGTATTCTCTGGTCAACCCCAAACATGGCCTGTACCCCAACCCATCCGGCTGCTCCCAGAAGGACGATGATTGGGATACATTATTACTGCTACTGCTGCTGCTAATACTAACACTAACTCCCTCGCCACTAATTATGTTCTCTGATCCAAACCCAATCTGCTGCTGCTGTTGGGGGAGATCGTTGGTACAGGGGCGGGTTGTAGAGAAAGGAAGAAGCAGGGGATGGGTGAGGTTGATGAGCATCCCGACAAGGCCGAAGAAGAAGAGAGCCAAGCACCATAGCTTGGAGTTCCTGAGGAGAGGGGCGATGATGAAGCTATTCTTCCTTGACGATGATGCCTTCTTGGGGGAATGGAGGAGAGACTGCAAGGAGGATGAAGAGAGGGAGTTGATTATCTGGGAAGGAACAGAGATGTATGCCACTTTCTTGGCCTTCTCTTTGAGCTTCTTTGCCATCAGGTTCCGTCGGAGAAAATAGGCACAGACTTATTCTTTCTTCTTCCCTGCGGATTGGCGGAAGTCTACTTTTGTTGTGGGAATGGGCGGCGGGAAGGAACGCGGAGAGAAAGTAGGCGAGGAAAGAAAGAAAGGAAGGAAGGAAGGAAGACGGGTCAGAGTCAGAGAGAGAGAGAGAGAGAGAGAGAGCGGAATGGGGAATGGTATGGGCGAGAGCTGCCTGCCTCTGCCCGCCTGCTTTTATTTTTAAAAACGATGTGCGATCATTTACTTCTACTTCATAATTAATAATGTAAGTGGGATTTAATTTTCTTTAATTATTAGAGCAATTAATTAAAATGGGCAGACTGTATTGGACCATCTTCTTGTAATTGTCAGAACTAACCTAGATTCAGGAGCAGCAGCAGCAGCTCATACTCGTTTTTCTGGCGTCTTCTGTAATTCATTTATCTACCTCTTTTTTATTTTCTTTGGATTTTTCATTCACACTAATCATTTCCTTGTTTATAACCACAAAGTGAATAATGAATTAGTGTTTACTCGGTCATGGATATGGTCAGACCAGTGGCGGACCTAGGGGTTTTGGAGTGTCCGGGACATTCCAAAATCCAAACCCAAATCTATGAATTTATTCTTAAAAAAACTCTGAGGTAAAATTCACAGGGTTTGAAAAATTCAAACCCAATTTGCTGAATATCCGCGGGTTTATGGGTATTCACTGGTTTTTGTTGTAAAAAATTTACAATAACAAGTTACTATCAAAATAAAAGTCAAATATCTATATCTCAATACAAATTATCCATGTATAAAACATCATTCTAGAAAATTAAAGCAAATCACAAATTAATCATACAAATTGTTCAGCACCAATCTAGAAAACTAAAGAAAATTGAAGCTAATCACAAATTATCCATAAAACAACAGGATTAATTGAAAACTTCTTCCTCCTTGTCAATTAAGTTTCTTCACTCTCCACTCGATAATGTATACTTCATTCTACACAATTCGATAGAAAAAATTAGACATGTCTCCACTAACATAAAGAAGATTAGTTGCTTAGAATATTAAATATACCGAAAAACTTAATTATATGGGTGTGGGCGGGTATATCTAAACCCAAACCCAACCCGATGAATAGTGAACGGATTTAGACCCGAAGCCAGCCCAAAACCCATCAACACGAGTTTTACCTGCGTTGCCCGGGTTGGATAGGGTAAGGTACCCATAGGTTCAGGTTTTGTTTAGGGATGGCAATGCGTCGGGTTGGGACGGGGTTTGCAAAACCCAAACCCATGGGTTTATCCGCCAAAAAATCCCGCGGTAAAACCCGCCGGGTTTGAAAAACTCAAACCCAACCCAACCCGCTGGGTATCCGCGAGTTCATGGATACCAGTAGATTTTTGTGGTCAAATATTTACAATAACAAATTTCTTTCAAAATAAAAGTCTAACATCAATTTTCTCATTAAATTATTCATATAAAAAACACAAATCTAGAGCATACAAGCGAACGACAAATTATCAATTGAAATTGTTCAAAATTAAAGATAAAACTCTATAAACAACATGATGAAAGCTCCTTCCTCCTTGTGAACTAAATTTCTTCACACTACACTCCATAATATCAACTTCATGGTACACAATTAGAAAGAACAAATTAGGCATGTCTCCACAAACATAAAGAAGATTAGTTGTTTAAGAAAAATATATTGTTTAGAATATTAAATAACCAGGAAAAATTAATTATATCGGTGTGGACGGGTACTCATGGAACGGATTTATCTAAATCCAAATCCAACCAAACCCACTGAATAGTATAGCGGATTTAAATCCAAACCCGCCCAAAATCCGTCCACACGAATTTTACTCGCATTAATCAAGTTGGATCGAATAAAATACCGATAAATTCGAGTTTTGTTGTCATCCCTAGTCATGGACTTATTGCTTTTGCCGCCTAATCTTGTTCAACACTATTCCTCTACTAGCTTTTACTCTTTCTCTCTCTCTCTCTCTCTTTTATTCTTTGTCTAACTAATGAGTTGGCTTCGAATACAAGGTTGGGAAATGATTTATTTTAAGAACTTCTGAGATATATTTTCAATTTTTTTTAGCGCATATTGGTCATGTTAGAACCTCATATTATGCTAACCTTAAAGTCTAGGAGTGCTTCCATTATGAGCTTTTAATTAATTTTTCGTCCAACTAATTATGTAGACTTCCACTTAATTTTTCGTCCAACTATAATATGCATTAACTTCAACTCGTCTTTCGTTTTACCCTTGATTTTGGGTGGATTCCAGCCTTGATCTTGAATATCCTTCCTCAAATTAAACCCCAAAATTCACTAGCATATTTGGCCGTCTCCTTGAGCCTCAAGCTATCCCCCATCTCTGCCCGTAGAACAATTTCATATTTCATAACGAGGAGAGGTTCTCACATCACAATTGACTAATAATTTTTTTTCTTCTTGCATGAATCTATCTGAAGCGTAGACCAAAAAAGTTACTGTCAACTTCCAATGTTTTGAGTTACCACAAGGTGGAAGTCGGCTTCTAAACATAACATCAACAATAACAGGTGTTAGCTTAGGTAACAATAATTGAGGCTAATGAATTGGCCTTTTGACTGCTCTTTGTTTTCTCCAAAAGAAGGGGGGAAAGCAGATGATCTGATCCAATAATTTTAGCCCTTGAGAAGTGGGATAGATATGGAGTTTGTTCATTGCTGTTATCCTGGTGCCATGCCATAATGCACCGTTCTCATTATGGAAAGGAGAGAATGAGGCGTCTACAGAACTTCTCTACAGCCAGCCAGGCAGCAGGCACCATTATTGTGGTCTGAAAATCACTTGTACCAATCCATGTGAGCTGCCGCAGCTGCTACCAATGCCATACACGACATACTAGCTAGCTACAAACAAACTGGAAGTGGGAAGTGACATCGAGTCTAGTTAATGACACACTTGTTATATCTTACATATATTAAAATTTCTTGACATGCAAGTTATGTGTATAAAGTATAAACTATATATAGAATTTTTTTTTTTTTTTGACAAAAGGTAATCATATATTGATATAAACGATAGTTACACCCTGGACGCAAGCCAGGTACGAAAATCAAAATGACAACTCATAGACGGGTACAAAGAAAGGGCCTTGCGAGCCACCAAATGGGCTACCCTATTGTTACACCGACCTACAAATCGAAAAGAAAAACCAGGATGGGCCTGACAATACTGTCCTATCTCTTCAAGCACCGCCCCCCCTTGTTATCTCTAGCATCCGCCTTGTTAATCTTGTCAATGACCACCTTGGCGTCCCCCTCCATCCTCACCTCCGAAAAGCCCAGCTCTAGACACCAGACGATCGCCTCCCTGAGAACCAGCAATTCCACCACCATGGGATCATCAATCCATGGGAACTGGACACCTTTAACCACAAGGACCTCCCTCGCTGGGCTCATCAGGACCATCCCACCAGCAGAATGAGAACCTCCTCGCGTTGCCCCATCCCACATACAGATTGCCCTGCCGCCCCCTCCCGAGGGAGAAACGATATTGCCTGGCCCCACCAACCCCTGCGCCGATGGGGGATCTGCAGAAAGACCAACCCACTCATCATACTGCTGGTGGACTTGACGCATCAAAACCTGAAACCCGAACTGCTTGCCCTCAAAGACAACCCAGTTCCGAGACCGCCAGATCCTCCAAAGAATGGCCACCACCTTCATGAACAAACCCGGGTCATGGACAAGAGCCAACAATCTCTTCAGGAAAAGAGGAAAAGTATGCCGAGGCAAACCCTCGCCAAGGTAATCCAAACCCGAATAGTCCCAGAGGGCACGAGCCACTGGACAGTCCAGAAAGAGATGTTCAAGAGTCTCAGTACCCTCCCAGCAGACCGGACACCGAGGATGGACCTCTACCTTCTTCTCAATGAGAGCCTCCGTAGTCGGTAGGGCGCGGTGGAATATCTGCCACACAAAAACTTTCAACTTTGGGGGGATATTCGCATTCCACAACCGAACCCAACTAGGTTTGTCCATCCAACCAACCACCGATTTCCATCCACCCTCCCTCCTATCCACGGCAACAGCCAGATGATAAGCAGACTTGACAGAGAACACCCCATCAACAGTACCATGCCAGATCAATCTATCCTCAACATCTCTCCGTGGCAAAGGGATTACTTTAATGGCCTGGCAGGTCGGTGGATCAAACCACTGGCTAAGCACAAGATCATTCCATTTCCCCTCACCAGGACACAAGACCTCCTCCACCCGCGGGTCCCCCCCCTCTGGAAGCACACGAGGACTATAATTAGGGGGGTCCATCTGGAACCGCGGTATCCAATTCGAATAGAGCAACGATGCCGACCGACCATTACCAATCTGCCACCGAAGGCCCTTTTTCAGCAACTGACGACCAAACAGAATGCTTTGCCACCCCCACGAAGGGCGAGACCTAGCCGTCGCTTGCAGGAATGTGCCTCTGGGGAAGTACTTCCCTTTATAGACCTGGGCCAATAAGGACTGAGGCTCCATCATGATACGCCACCCAATTTTAGCCAATAAGGCTTGGTTGAAGTGCTCAAATCGTCTAAACCCCATCCCCCCGTCATGCTTGCTCCTGCACATGTTTCGCCAAGACACCCAGCGAATCTTCGACCGATCCTCCACCACCCCCCACCAGAATCGGGCAACGTGCTTATCCAATAACCGACACAGGGATAAAGGCAACTTAAAGCAGGACATAACATGCAAAGGCAAAGCCAAAGCGATCGATTTAATCAACGTTTCTTTGGCAGCCCATGACAAAGTTCTTTGCTTCCACCCCTGTAATCGCTCAAGCAGCTTCTCCTCCAAGTACCGAAAGGTAGCCATTTTAGATCTGGCAATTAGAGTAGGCAAACCTAGGTACTTATCATGAACTCCCACCGCCCCTACCCCTAGAATAGAGGCTAAGAACTCCTGGTCAGGCAACACAATATTCTTACTAAAGCACACTGCCGACTTCGCCAGGTTAACCCTTTGACCGCTAAGGTCCTCATACTCATTTAAGACTTCAATCAGATTCTCACATTCCTGGAGGTTTCCTCGCAAGAACAAATAAGAATCATCCGCGAAGAACAAGTGAGATATCTTAGGAGCCCTAGGCGCCACCTTCACTCCATCCAATCTCTTATCAGCAATGGCCTTCCGCAGGAGCGCCGCAAATCCTTAGAAATTGGAATAGACGATTACTTTTCAAAAGAAGAAATTGAAACTCATATCGATTTATAAACCTACTTCCCTTCCGACCAATATAGTATTTCAATAACTTTTCATTAACTCCTTCCTCTTTCGTTCTTGTTCATACCATA